TCCCATGGTCGCAGTCAAGTGCACAGACTTCACACTTGAGGACATCTCAGGTCGAATTTCTCCACCAAATCTCAACCAATTCCTTCGCGGAAAGACTCTTTCGGTTCGTACAAAAACCCTCTTTCTTTTTTTTTATTACTCCCTCCTACAATTCCTTTTTCCTAATAATGTACAAGGGGGGGTGCCCAATTTGACGTATTTGCTGTGTAAGGCTCCATGAATTTGAGCACACCCATTATGCACTCCTACAACGTGTCCCTGACAGTAACGTCTGCTAGAACTTCATGTCTGTTGGGGAGCACCTCTCTCTGTTGGGGGAGTCCTCTTTGTAAATACAGGAAAGAGGCAGTTATAAATATGAAGAAATACGTGTGGAAATCCGAATGATCCGACAGGTTTAGGACAGCAACAGATCCACAAGGAACAAATAAGAAAAAAGTAATATCAAAGAAATATTGATGTTGTTAAGGAAACAAAGAAACATTGCGATCGGAACAACCGCTAAACCAAATGCGTCACTCGTAACATTATTCGACTTGTGTTAACAAGGGCTTTCCAACGATACCAAATTCGTCCAGATCGGTGGAGAATTGATGGAGATATGGAGGAAGCGGCGGAATATGCGGGTGACAGTTACCCAATTTGGAAACTGATGGTTGTGCGTGGTCAGGAATGGCTTGAAAAAAATCGGAAAAAAATATGGGAAATGTGGAAGGGGTATGTGGAACAGTGGTAGATGTGTTTCGGAAGTGGGGTGCTTGACACGGGTGGTAGAATTGCGATAATCAGCTCATTTGCATTGTTACGGGGATGGGGGAAATTCCCCATTCCTCGATCCGTTCTTATAGTGGGAAGGCGAGAGTCATGTCTAGTTTGTACCATAACTGGAAGTGTAATCGATGAGTGATCGCAGTCTGACCTGGGAGTGGGCGATCGAATTCCCATCGATCGCGATGGGTGATGTAGTGAGCTATTAAGGGATTGATGATTGATAGTCGGAGATATCAGGACAGATGGGTCAGCCACGTATACTTGGCGCTCCTCAATGGAGCGTACCGTGTGCGAGGTCGCGACTGGTGAGATGGGTGAGAGCTTCGCATAGTTGCCATCGGGTACTTGGCGTTCGCAGTGCGAACGTACCGGTAGCGGGTTGATATCGTAGGTGTGCAATGAGGGCTGACTATTAGGGCCTTCGGTGACTTGGCGTTCCCAAAGGGAACGTACCGTTGGCGGGGACATATGATGACTGGCAAAGGAAGAAACAGACGGTGGATGGGCGGCTACTTGGCGTTCGCGTAGCGAACGTGCCGGCATCGAGGGTAAGTGGGCCTCATAGTGTTCACGATCACCATGATCGTGATGGGACGTCGTATGTTGAGTACTGGGGGGAGAGCGGAGTGATGAAGACCCATAGGGTACAGGTTCAATAGGACGATACACACGTTGAGAGTCTTCGACTCTTGACTTCGAGTTCTCGTGGCGAGGGCCGTTAGAGGACTCGATATAACCAGACTTATAAGACATATTGAGAGTTGTACAGTCACACAGGTTCAGTTGAGTCACAGGGAGGGTTGTTACAGAAGACGGTACACGAGACAGTTGTAGAGCAGTTGTTAGTTAGCGGGAACCGCCTTCGGCGGTTTCCATACATGACGCGTGACTATCTACAAATGGTAAGGTCGCGGGAAATCCCACGAAACACAAACAACCTCGGCCAGCACCAAAACCCCAATGGGGAAAGCTTTGCACGAGGGGGGGAAGGGGTAGAACAGGTAAGGAGGATAGGGTAGTGGGATAGAGGACGGAAAGGAGAAAGAGGGGAGGAGCGATAGAGAGGGGAAGTCTTTGACCATGCGATGGATATGGTCGTTGGAGACTCCGTATCCGTAACATGCATGGTACTGGCTGTGCCCGCCTACAGCACTGTGCCATCGCTGTTTGTCCATTTGGTCCTTAATTTCAGAAGCAATGAGCAAGAAGTCTCTAGGGGGCATTTCTAGTCGATTTTAGACTGAGGGTCTAATCGAGTATGTACAAGCACCTACATATAATGGAGAGACGAAAGCACAAGGAAATCAAAGGGGGTCTGAATTGGAACAAAGGCGTCCGAATGGAGACAAAGGGAATTACGGAAGCAGAGTGGTACCGAAGGTCATGGGTTAGACTCTATGGTATGTCCAAAAGGAGGTAGGGAGGGTGAAGCCCAGAGGAGGTGAAGTGGGGTTGATGACTAACTGGCTAAAATGGAAGGAAGCAGTAGTCCAAATAGGGATGAGGGGAAAGTGCGAAAGATACAGTACAAGCAGCAAAAGTGCTGAGAACGTTCCATAAAGCCCAGAGGTAAGGAGACTCAATGGTGCAGCTATTCTCATTATTATGGGTTCAACATGGGGGCCATTATGATTCTATGCCTAGTCTAGTCTAGTTTCTCTTTTAATGACAATACTGTCATATCCATACAATCCCAACCTCCACTCCGGGCTCCCGGAACTCCGAAACCGACTCCAGAGCCCCACTTCCCTTCCATCACCTTCTCCTTGCCGACTCCCAAGAGGTTTTCCCACCTCCAGCTCCAACACCACCTTTGGTCCAACTCTGGACCATTCTGGGTCCGACCTAGTGTTGCTTGTCCCCTATCACAAGCTAGAACAAACATCCTTGAGTCCCCCTAGTAAGACAACCACCATAGCCTTGAAATAATTAAGGACCCCTGACAACAGCAGTTGCACAGCACTCTGCTTGAGTCACTGAGACCAAAGTCCTTGGTATCTAACAGTGTTCAGATAGTGGTCAGACATGGGTGGGGGTTTGGTAGGAGGTTGTACAGCCAATGGAGCCCCAGGGTTTAAGCCAGGTTGTGACACACAGAGTGGAAGCTACTGAGGTTCCATCAAAAAATAAAATAAACTGATAAAAAAAAGAAATCAGGAAAAATGGCAATTGAATTCTTCTGCCCAAATGCTTTTGAAAAGTATCAGTCTTGTCTGGAATGGTGGGGACATGCCAAAGATATGGTCCATGAGATTTTCAGGTTCAACCCACAATCTTTCCAATTTTTCCCATCCTCTTTGTCAAGGTCAGCAAGAAATGGCCAAAGAAATTTGGGAAAAAGGGTCATTGAATTCTTCTGCCCAAATGCTTTTGAATGATATCAGTCTTGTCTGGAATAGTGGGAATGTGGCAGAGATATGGTCCGTGAGATTTTCAGGTTAAGCCCACAATACCTCCCCAATTTTTTCCATCCTCTTTGTCAAGGTCAGTAGAATTGCCTTAAAATTTTCAGGAAAATGGGCATTAAATACTTCTACCCAAATGCTTTTGAATGATATTGGTCTTGTCTGGAATAGTGGGGACATGGCAGAGATATGGTCTGTGAGATTTCTTTTTTTTTTTTTGGTGGAACCTTCACCAGATGTGATGATAGCTGGGCACAGCACTCCAGACTGAGTTGCTGAGGCTATAGCCTTCTGCACTTGAGTTGCACCTTCATCTTGGAATCACACTATCTGACACCAGGTCTTGCTGACTTAAGGTTGTCAAGGGTTAGTAAACTAAATGTTACCCATGACTCAGGTTAAGGGGAAGGCAGGTGGTCACCCAGAAGGGAATAGGGGTGGGAGGACTGAGGGTGGACTTGAAGGGCAAGCAACTGAATGGCCTAGCAGGGGTGGAAGTGTGCTTGCAGACATCAGAGCTGTCTGGAAGACCCCAGGGGGTCCAATACCAGGGTGGCATAGGTAATATATTGAATTGGAGGGTGATGACCATAGGGGGTGTCAGGGGTGATTGCAGGAATGGAGGCATGGAGATGGGCTCAACTAGGGGGTTCCAGGGCACTAGGTAGTGTGCCAGGGCTGTTCTGGAGGTTGTTGGAGTCTGCAAGGGAGAAGGACATGGTGTAACAGGTCTATCACCAAGACTCGAGACAGAAGAGATGGGGTAGTAGTGTGCATGGGTACAGGTTGGTGTTTGGTGGGTTGGTCCTGGTGCTACTGGGACTATGAAATCTTCAACTAAAAAACTCACCTATGCCTCTCTTGAACATCAAGGCTGAGATTCGGTGGGAGATAGAGTTCAAGCAGGTGTAGGATGTCATAGGGGATGTGGATGGTGTCTTTGCCACTTGGATGCAACTACTTTTTCACTTGGGTACTGGTCTATTCAGTACTAACTTGTTATGTACAAGGTATTTCTCTTTTATATGAGCTAAAAATGAAATGAATGGAATGAGAGAGTGTGTACAGCCCAATAGGTGGCCATAAATAAAGAGTGTCCAATCAGGAACAGAGAAACAATAAAGGAAATATGAATGAATGGGGAAGTTGTGATAACAGATCAAAAATGGGGGTTTGGGAGTTAACTCCGCTACAGCACTCACCTATCCTACTGTTGCAAGCGGGAATCGGCTATGGGACCAGAAAGTAATCCTAAATCCACCCCATGATTTGTGACATCGGAAGTTTGCGGAGGTCATGTGTCACCAAAAAAAACACCTGGAAAATATAATTTTTCGTTTTCATTCTGGCTGGAGGTATATCCAGGCACGAATTTCAGCTGGAGCGAAATTTTCCAAGTTAAATTTGAACCATGCTTTGATTTACGCTGTTTTAGATATGTATCTTAACACACCTCCAGCCACATACGTCCCACTCAAACACAAATTAGCTACGATATAAGTAAAATACATGAATTAGAAAGTGAAAACCCACCTCAGTCTCGAACAAGTCTGAGGATGGGGAGTCCCAAAAATTTTATATGCGACCATCGTTCAGTGATGGGTCATCATACAAAGAGAGTTCAGACCCAACCATTAAGGTCGAACTAAGTCCTGCACGGTGACCATCGTTCAGTGATGCGTCGTAGCCATACAAAGAGTTCAGACACAACCATGGAGGTGGTCCGACTAGGTCCAAAATTGATACACAACCATTGCTCAGTGGCAAGGCCGTTGAATAATAAGAAAAAAGAAAAAAAAATACTCGCCACATCTTGAAGTCTGGTTAAGACATCTGCTTGAAGTTCTTGAAGGAGGCGAGTGCGGCGAAGAGCGCCATGGAGAGGTCTTCGTTGGAGCAGGAAGATAGGCAAGTGCAGTGAAGAGTGTATGCCACAAAGTTGGCAAGCTCTGGGGAGGGGATAAGGGCGCCGTTGGACGGGCTTCGTTGGAGGCGAGTGCCATGACTTGCTTGAGAGGGCTTTGTTGGAGTGGGAAGGGCAGCAAGTGCGGTGAAGAGCATATGCCACAAAGTTGGCGAGCTCTGGGGAGGCGAGGCGAGTGTGGTGGAGAGTGCTGTTGGGCAGGTTTCGTTGGAGCAGGAAGGGAGGCAAGTGCAGTGTAGAGCGCTGTTGAGCGGAGCAGGAAGGGGCCGAGTGTGGTGTTTCGTCCACCGATAACCCAATAAGCTCGGACTCCGCAATCGAGAAAGATGCGAGGGAATACACCTATCATGGAATATAAGTCTCGAAGACCTGGGCATGCAAATAAAACTGTACCGAGCGTCAAAGCTGTCAATCAATACGCATCGATGAACAACCACCCGCCTCGCCCTGTACGTATTCGAATTGAGAGTGGGGAACGCCCTGTGTGCTCTATGAAGGGCTTGACGGCGATACAGTGAGGGGAAGAGTGTGAAAAAAGTGATCTGAGATAGGTAAACTCATTGGGAGCTAACATAGGCAGGTGATCAGAAAGAAGACAACTAATATATGAATCTCGGCCCCTACGTTGAAATAATCCTCCCAGCCCGAGTCCTTTCTCATCTCGCATTGACACTCGATCTCTTTAGTGAATAACTCGGCACGTTCATGTGGATGCACATGAACCTGATCCTCGCTTCGAGAACGCTGCACGTGTCCTTATTGAGCTCCAACTTCACCTCATGCAAAACCATTAAGTTAGCAAGATCTTTCGCCTTGATAAGCTCTTGCCATAGCCGTGAGACCTTTTCGGCAGGCATCATATCCATTCGACAAGTCTTACAGACTGACTTGACATCTCGTCAGCAGAAACACACGTAGGCATCTTGGGCATTGGATTTGTTGAACTGACAGGTTTTCTCAACAGGTGTCGAATGCAACATAACACACATGCACTTACATTTAATGAGGGTATTATCTTGTGGCCTTGGCTAACAATTTCCCGCTCCTTATAGTAGGGGTATATCGTTCGAGCGAGCCGAATAAGATGAGAGGGGTCCTGGGCACATGGAGGCACTATGAATGAGGCGAAAAGAGTTGGGGACAGGGTGGTGAAGAGCAGCTCGTACTCTGATAATGACCTTTGATATCAAGATGGAGGAAATGGCATTTCTCGTTGGTGAACTTCTCGAATAGACCCATCACGAGTTCTATCTCGTCCTCAGTGAAGACAAGAGAGTCGGTCTGAAGCAATGTCCTTGCCCCGAGTTTTGACATTGCGAGTTGGCGAGGGAATTGCGCTACTTGACCCTCGCCAAGTGCGATGTTGTTGTTCTTCCGCAGCCATTCAACATTGTGTTCATCCATGTCATAAGTAAACCCGCTGAGAATGGCACCATCAACACACTCCTCAACCATGTCCGAAGACTTGACATAGGCTGCCGGGTCGGTCCAAACGCCTTCTGGGTAGTGCTCCAAATAGTTGTCGACGACATATCTGTAGACATAATATGGATGAAATTAAGGAATATAAACGTTAGAATGTGAATAAGTGTAGACTGATGGGCAAATGACTGCAATAAATATTGATGTGAGAGACATTGTCAGAGGAGATACATTGGTATCAGATCTGGTGGTAAAGTGTGTACTGAGACCATTGCTTTTCTTGAGGACTCTTTGGCCATGTCCTTTCTGGACGAGCTTTGTGAAGGTGTACGGCCTGAATATAGTCGTCAAGCAGGGGTAAAGCACCAGAGAACAGGGGCGTCGAAGTGATTGCTTTCTTCCATTTGGAACTGCCAAGTGCAGACTGCTTTTTCAGGATATCAGCTGCACGTTCGAGAGACCCAATGAGTTTGGATATTTCCTCATTCTTGCTAATCATCTGATCATGTAAGTTGGGTGTCAGAGAACTCATAAATCATACAATATGTAGGTTCTTACCTCTTCATCATCTGATTCATAATTAACTTCTGAGCTAGTTGGGGAAGGTGAGTCCACATCTTGGTCCACGTCAATTATTTGAGGCTGCAGCAGACATATTAAATCGATGTAACGTGATCAAGGATGTGAACTAACTTTCATCTTCTTGGGTGATGCACGATCGCATGATGACGAGCGAGCACGCTTCAAGTTCTTGCTGGTCAAGCAAGTTCTCCATGCGCCATTAGACAACTGTTTACATGAGTCCATCCAAATATCGTCCCCATCTGAAATTGACCCTGCAACTTCGGATCCACCATTCTGAATGTGTGCGATTTTATAGATTGGAATCATTTGACATCGTGAAAGATTTTCAAAGAAATCTGAGGGAAGCGGCCCTTGGGCTTCCACTGCCTGGACAAGATGCTTGCACAGGTGCTGTGCCTGTAGCTCTTGAGCGCCACACTGACACATCCATCGCAACATATCTGTGCCATAGTCCTTCCTGCTGGATGGTTGAGTCGCAAGGGTTACCCATGACTTTTTTGCTTGGGTTTGGAAGGAAGTCGGCGGGAGGGAGAGGCCAAGGTGACGTACTCCATCTAACTCGATGGATTTATTGATTACTTCGGGAATGACACTTGTTATCATTGTATAGATTGTTTGATCAAGCCGTGGCCAATGCATGAAGCCAAGATGAGTGTGTTTGAGGTATTGCCAGTGTTTTTCTGCAGTCATTGTTGTACAGAGATGGGGGAGGAGAGATGGAGTGCTGGATCGGGCCCACAGTTTCCACATTGCAGGTGCGTACCATGATGTCCACATGTATCCCCATATGTCTGCTAAGCCCCTTTTCATACAAAATGTGTACATTTCGTGTACACTTTCCTCACATATCTGAGCTGCTGTTTGGGAAGAGCCATTGCAAGCAGGGAAGAAGGGATGCTGGCAGAAATGTCGAGTCACAATAGAAAGGAGTTGTTTGCGGTGAGCAGCTGGGCAAAATTCATATTCAGGGTCCTTTGATCGCTTCTCATCTGCTTCAAATGCCCAGTCAGGCCCATCCTCCTCATCCGATCCATCCGTATCAAGCTCCTCTTCTAAATTGTCATCAGCTGAGATTCCGTGAGTGAATCAGTGTTGAAAGTCCATCCACATCTACTTACCACACAATTTCTTGGCTAGCACTTTTGTAATGAGCGCCTGACATCACCGGGCACTGAACCATCACAATCCTCGTCACCTTGGCCATCAGGGACTTCTTCAACTTGCTGTGATGTTGAAGGAACTTGGGTTGGTGCAACTGATTGGCCACCGATCTTAAAAGAAAGTCGGGGTATAAAGGTGCAGACAACTTTTATGTCTGCATGCTGCCTCTAATGAACTTTCAGTACTTGTCAAGATTGGAATGGAATTACGAACCACATTGGCAGGGAGTTGATCACGCTGTGCAACAGGAACAAAAATTGGATTGATAAATGGGAACTCAGCTGTTGCCATTGCTGCCTTATATGGAGCAGGTTGACGGTGCAACTTTGAAAGCCATTGTTTTATGGCTCTAAGTATGTGCCAAAAACACAACTGATGCAAAACACAACTGATGCTTAGCCACAGGAAAGACTCCAGAATAGGTGTTTATTTCACTCCAATCTTTGTCCGAGTGAGTGACTTTTGCATTTATATGCCACACATCTCGGAAATGGCACAACCAAGTGGTAAGTACCCTCTCCTTACTCCTGGTTCTGACTTCTTTTGACTTGGTCCTCATGAAGCACCACCCAAGCGGAATTTCCAGTTGCACACTTCCCTAAAGGGTAATCCACCTTCAGCTCCATGTTTCAGACTAGTGAAATTACTCACAAGTTGAGTCCATCACTAACTCTCTTATCCTCTTCCCCCATAATTCCAACACTGCCGGAATTGAGAATGCAATGCACTCATAATCACTGTTCTCGCCCAGGTCAATCATTTGCAGTGTCCCATCTGCAGCTGCTTCAGCATTCATAAGGTGAGCTCTTGAAGATATTATCGGGTCTGGATCAAGTTTCTAGTCCTTCATCTTCAGGCTCTGCAAGAAAACATATACAGAATCATGGCTGAAAGGGGTGGTAGGGGATTTCTGACGTGTGAGGTGCCAGACCTGGCCAGAATGGCAGATAAGTTTTCCCATTAATTAGAACAAGCATTCACACACATCTTTTAATGATTTATCTTTATTTTTCTCGATGATATCCCGGGCTTCTGGTGGCAAGTGGGTTGCACAGTAAGGGATGTGATCATCAATATGCATTATGTCAATTTTAGCAGTGAGGATCCCTTGAATCGGTTGAATGGTGATGTGTAGGTGGCTTTTGCATTCAAAGTAGGCTATTGTTTGTCGGTCCCATTGCTTTGATGAGTCATTGATTTTCCGGGACTTTTGTAGCAATTGACGATCCTGTGCACACCAGTACCGAAAATGGAGTGCAGGTTGTTCTCCCTCCTTCCTAGCATGTGTCTGAGTGTCATGATACCTAGTGTGAGTGAAGATTCCGTTCAACTGTTTCAAAAAGCTAAGAAACCATACCTCCACTTATAGCCGAGTATAATACTACATTGGGTACTTATAATGTCGGCCTGGTTCCTATATGCGCTGATTCCTGCATTGGCATTGGCATCAGGGTCCATTTCCAGTATGTCATTGTAGCCTGGACTGGCAATTTGTATGAGTTGGGAGCCGCCCTTTGGTTCAAGAAGGATGTGGTGGGTGTCAACTTCTTCATCTTTGGCCACTTCAAGCTTAGCATAGAAATCATGAAGTGTTGACAGGTTTTTAAGAGCATCCATTTTTTTTTTTGCTTATTGGAACGACGTCGGACATGCTGTATATCAAGACATATAGTGCAGCAGGAGGACAAGCCGGACTGAGTGGTTTGGAAATGGTTGAGAGGTCGAGATTGGTTGCAGCCTGTGCAGAACTTTTCACTCATGTCACACAGTGAGGTAGTGTTTATTTCCAAGGAGCACAAGTATAGACATGGTTATAGAAATTCACGGAGGCAAAGTAGGGGAAAAAAAAAAAACAATGTTTTTTTGGGGAGAGCATCTCACGTGTTATAGCACATGACCTCCGGCGACCTCCAACGTCACAAACCATGGGGTGGATTTAGGATTACTGGGAACAGAAAATGGAAGGTAGCACTCCAGCTCACTCCCCAAGAGCTAGGGAAGAAAGAACAAGGGGGCTGAAAGTGTTACGGGGATGGGGGAAATTCCCCATTCCTCGATCCGTTCTTATAGTGGGATGAGTGAGGTCATATCTGGTCTGTACCATAACTGGATATGTAATCGATGAATGATCCCAGTCTTGCCTGGGGGTGGACGATCGAATACCCATCGATCGCGATTGGTGATGTAGTGAGCTATTAAGGGATTGATGGTAGGTAGTCGGAGATGCCAGGACGGACGGGTCAGCCATGGGTACTTGGCGCTCCTCAATGGAGCGTACCGTGTGCGAGGTCGCAACTTGTGAGATGGGCGAGAACTTCATATAGTTGCCATCGGGTACTTGGCGTTCGCAGTGCGAATGTACCGGTAGTGGGTTGATGTCATAAGCGCGCAATGAGGACCGACTAGTAGGGCCTTCGGTGACTTGGCGTTCCCAAAGGGAACGTACCGTTGGCAGAGAAACATGATGACTGGCAAAGGAGGGAACAGATGGTGGATGGGCAGCGACTTGGCGTTCGCGTAGCGAATGTGCCGGCATCACGGGAAGGTGGGCCTCAAAGTATTCACGATCTCCATGATCGTGAGGTGACGTCGTATGTTGAGTACTGGGGGGAGAGCGGAGTGATGAAGACCCATAGGGTACAGATTCAATAGGACGATACACATGTCGAGAGTCTTCAACTCTCGACCTCGAGTTCTCGCAGCGAGGGCTGTTAGAGGACTCGATATAACCAGACTTATAAGACATATTGAGAGTTGTACAGTCACACGGGTTCAGTTGAGTCACAGGGAGGGTTGTTACAGAAGACGGTACACGAGACAGTTGTAGAGCAGTTGTTAGTTAGCGGGAACCGCCTTCGGCGGTTTCCGTACAAGACGTGTGACTATCTACAAATGGTAAGGTTGCGGGAAATCCCGCGAAACACAAACAACCTCGGCCAGCACCAAAACCCCAATGGGGAAAGCTTTGCACGAGGGGGGGAAAGGGGTAGAACAGGTAAGGAGGATAGGGTATTGGGATAGAGGACGGAAGGGAGAAAGAGGGGAGGAGCGATAGAGAGGGGAAGTCTTTGACCATGCGACGGATATGGTCGTTGGAGACTCCGTATCCGTAACAGAAAGGGTGTTGCAGTAGAACAGGTCTGTATACAGCTCCTAGAGTTGTGTAGTGTGACCCGGAGGGAACATCCAGGTGGCAGTGCCCAGTAAGCGTGGGAACATTCTGGGTGAGCTGCTTGCTCAGAAAGTTCCCACGCTATCCCATGTGTGTGGATACACAACACAGAAAGGCAACAATGAAGGAATGGAAGGAAGGGATTGGTTGGGGAGTCTGGGGCACCCTAGGGCAGGGTGCTGAACCCTGACAATCATGAGGTGGAGAGATGACTCAGAGCAAAAGGCTATGGCCTCAGTGATCAGAAGGGAGTGCTGTGCCCAGCAAGCATCTTAATTTAGCAGACAGGAAGAGAGTCAAGCAAAGAGGGGGGGAATCTAGTCAATTACAAACTAAGGTATCATGTACCTGTCATATCCATCCCAACTCTGCCTAACCTCCAACCACCTCCACCATCGTTCCAGTCTATCTCCGGTCCAATTCCCTCATGTCTCCTCCTCACCTCTGCCTTACCCTCCAGTTCACCTCTGGACCACCTCCACCTCCTATCTCCAGTACCAACTCCAGTACCTCCTCCACCTATCCTATTCGATTATTAATATTTCTATCCCCCCTCAATCACTACAGACCTCCAAGGAGCCTCTGCTGTCTGCAAAGGGTTTTCCACCCCATTACCCCCTTGTCAGGGGATGACTCCCAGGTCCCCATGACCCTCCCCTATGGTCCACAGCCCTATGGTGTAACCAGCCCTATCCAGGGCACAACCTACTGTGGGTAAGAAGATGAGAAGGAAGCTAACTTCTCATCTTCCCACAGTGGCCGCAATATCAGAAAAACTTCCGGGGATACCCGGAAGTCACATGAGGAATAGGAACCGGGCCTGGAGCATGCGGTGCGCAGAGCATGCGGGGTGGAGCACACATGCGGGTCCAGGCATGGGTCCAGATGCAGGTCCGGGTCCGGGCTAGTCAGGGTGTGTGCCCTGACACCCCTGTCACTAATACCACCCTTCACCCAATTGCTCCACAGCTACTAATAAGGCGATTCTCTCATGAGCTTGCTGACCTGGCTTGTGGGTAACATATAGTCTTGTTTCCCTTTGTACCTGTTATAAGAATGGAGTCTCTTGCAACCATGTCAACTGAATGTCAACCATAGCGGGCCCTCCTGTCAGGGGACAGCTCCTGGGTCCCCATGACCCTCCCCTATGGCCCACAGCCTCAAGTCTGGCCAGCCCTATCCAGGGCACAATGTGGGTCAGAGATGATCATAGAACAGAAAGCAAGTATATACAACTTGCCTCCTGTGGGTCAGAGATGAGAAGGAAGCTAACTTCTCATCTTCCCACAGTGGCCACAATAGATTGAAAACTTCCAGAGATATCTGGAAGTCACATGAGACCCGAGACCCAAGGTCTGGGCCATCTGGCCGCACTGAGCATCTGGCACAGGGCACGTGCGGGAAGTGCAACAGCTGGGTGCGGGTGCAGGTGCAGGTGCGAGTGCGGGTGTGGATGCGGGTATGGGCTAGGTCAGGGTGTATGCCCTGACACCTCCTTATCCATCTCCTCCTTTCTCTTCCTTATATTTCTCCCCGTTCCCCCCCCTCTTACATATCCACCCCATGCTAAGCTTTCCCCTATTGGGGTTTTGGTGCTGGCTGGTATGTTATTCCATTTCACGAGACTCCTCGCAACCTTACTCATTCAGTAGTTAGTGTCACATTCATGTACAGCTCAAGCTGAGAGAGATGAGAACTCAACTACAATCAGATACTCCTACCAACTGTGCAACTTCTGTAAACCTCCTTGTGCCAACATTGTAAATGACTGTGTACAGCTGTAAATGTCTCAGTTACCACCTATATGGGTCATCCCTACCGAGGGTGACAACTCTAGCCATAGGTCGTCAAGTTCGTGCATGACTCAACTCAGGTATGCACATATGTCTCCTGTCACAACTCATGTTGTTTGCACAGGCACAGGGCTCTCATCTGTCTCACTCCATGGTGAGGAATTGGCCAACTCTATGGATGGACTCATACATGAGTCAGGCCCACCAACATCACTGCCAGTATGCTCTCACAAGCACCAAGTAGCTGCCAACCCCACCACATGTTGTTTGACCTTTGAACAACTACCTTCCCCATTACCGGTATGCTCGTACAAGTGCCAAGTACCTGTTGACATGATCATTGGCCATTCGCCCAACAAACGGTCATATACCCCATTGCCAGTACGCCTGTTGAAGGAGGGAAAAGCCAGTAGTACCCCGACACTGCTATATCATGGCCTACAGACGTTACCTAGCATCTGACACACAGTACCCCAGTCCCCCCAAAGCTTGTTGAACTTCCCCTATCATCGTTGTATTTTTTGATAATTTTTCAGACCAGGTTACAGCCCACCCGGACATGTTACCAGGCCACTTTCACAGTATTTTCACCATAACTCCCCCAGTTCTTCTCCGATCCGGACGCACTTGGTATTGTTGGAAAGCTACCATCAAGACGAGTAGAACGAGTCCAATATCGGGAGATTTGGTGCAGCCGTTGTGGAGATCGTCGGAGTTTATCGATTGTGTGGCCGTTCCTATATATCTTTATGTTTTCTGTTGTTTCCTTTGTTCTATGTTGTTCTGTCCGTTTCTATCCGTCCCTAGCACCGTTGGATTTCTCAGACATTAGCTCAGTATAACTTGGGTTTATATACAAGATGTATCTAGTATGATACAGAGATTCTCCCCTCTGCTCCACTAAGTACTAGGTCTGTGTGCCTGGGGTGGTGTCTGAGTGCTTGAAGTCTTGGGGACAGTGCTTCGCAGACAGTACTGCTAGCCCATCTTCCAGGGAGGTCCACCCAGTGTTGAGATTTTTAGGCTGAGTTAGTTGGGACCGGTGTTAGAGATGGGCGGAAACGGACGACTCCGGAGTGGAATCGGAGACTTAGCGTGGAGGGACCTTGGCCTCAGCGACTCAAGCGGAGCGCTGTGCCATTGCTGTTTGTCCATTTGGTCCTTAATTTCACAGTAGGTGAGCAGGAAGTCTCTTGGGGGCATTTCAGGTCGATTTCGGACTGAAAACAGACGAGTATGTACAAGCGCCGATATATAAGGAAGGGGCAAAAGCACAAGGAGAAACAAAGGGTGACCGAATCGGAACGAAGACGTCCGAACGGGAACAAAGGGTTAGAGGGAGCGGAGCGGTACCGAAGGTCATAGGGCAAGACCTGTGATACATCCGAAAGGAGGTAGAGTGGGCGAGGCCCAGAGGGGCAGGAGGATGAGGGGAAGTGGGGGTGATGACTAACTGGCTAGAATAGAAAGAAGCAGTAGTCCAAATAGGGATGAGGGGGAATTGCGAGAAATACATTACAAACGGCGAGAGTGCCGGAGGCGGTCCGCGAAGCTCGGGGGTTGCGGAGCTTACGGAGGTTACGGAGGTTACGGAGGCGGGGTTGGAAGTCCGGGGAATATTGGCAATGGTGTTCACGTAGTATGAGGTCACC